ATTTTATAAGACTTGAGTAGTTCAGAAAGGGCCTGTGGTATTTGTCAGGCAGCATCCCTAATTGGTGTCCACTTGTGAAAGAAAGATCCATCTATTTGCTTGGCAAATATGAGTAAAGTCAGTTTTCCTGTTTAGTTTCAGTTGCAAAGTAATTTTTTTGTATTTTATATTAGTATTTGATAATAATTTTTCTATCATTGATGATTTTAATAGGGCCATGATAATTCAATTTAGTTTAATATAAAGAGAATGATATAGAAATTTCAAACGTAAACTCCATCGTTTTCTTGGGGATACTCTGGTATTTAAATCTATGGTTGTAAAAAACAATAAACCAGTTACTTTTAAAATTAATTTATTAAACAACTAATTGAAATAAGAAAATATAATTGACAAAATTGACTACATTTGTTTTGAGTGATGATTAAATGGCAACAATTAATATGATAACTACTTGGAAATAGCTTCAGATATGTTCCCAATGAATGACAAATTTTGTTTGCCATCTTATTTGTTCTTTCATGTCACCAACCTAAGTGTATTAACAGATACCAGGTGGAAGACAGTATGCTAAGGAAAAGAGCAATATGAAGAACCTCTATGTTTATGATGCTCAAAGGTCAGAGAATAAAAAATGCTTATCCTGGCCGGTGTGGCTCAGTGGTTGCGCATCAAGCTATGAATCAGGAGATCATGGTTCAATTCCCAGTCGGGGCACATGCCAGGGTTGCAGGCTCGATCTCCAGTGTGGGGTGTGCAAGAGGCAGCCCATCAATGATTCTCTCTCATCATTGATGTTTCTATCTCTCTCTCCCTCTCTCTTCCTCTCTGAAATCAATCAATACACACACACACACACACACACATATATTTAAGAGAAAAAGACAGGAGAAAATTGATGGTGTGTAATATTCCATACAGAGCTAGAGCTGAGATCAGGAACACATTTTAAGAGTTTAGCCCTGACAAAAAGACAGGAGGAGAGTAGAGATGAATGATTAAAAGCACAGAGAAATACATTGTGTGGACTCATGAAGGGATTTGCTAGAGTTAGTGAAAGCTGAGGTAGGACCTATTATTGGTACAGTAAAAATCTATGTTCCACATCCTTTGATGCTACCACTCTCTGGAGTGACCTTTCACCATCTCCAACCTTCTGTCTTTCCTTTTTTCCCTCGTTTTCAGGTTTTCCTGCCCCTAGTCTTTTTTGTTTTTACTGTTTGTTTTAATGTTTTTAAAGTATTCTATTTCATAATACCTAGTACACTTAATTCTTTATTGCACTGTAAATGCAATTATTTATCTCTATGTTTTTCTGCACCACTAGGCTTTTCATTCTGGTAGCTTTGGTAACAAACATAGTGGTGGATATGCTGTCAGTGCTCAGGGAAACATTGCATAGAAAACAGCTGACATCTACTGTGTGCTTGCACTGCATGGGCATCAGCATACTCAGAGATTCATAGATCAACTTTATTATCATCTTCATTTTGCAGATTTGGGAGACTGATTAAATTGCACAAGGTCACACAGCTAATAAATGGTCAAATCATATTACAATGCAGACAATCTGACTTCAGAAAACTTACGCTTCATTGTTATCTATAGTGACTCTCCAAGAAGTCATTGGCACTCAGAAGAAAGTTGATGGGCTATGAATCTCTCAATAGAAATTATGAACATTCTTTTAGATTTTCCCTAAATGAGGGTTGGTTATATTTTAATACTTTGAGAGTTAGAATTTCATAGGTAAATAGGGTTACTTTAAGGCACTTAATGTTGACCATTCTTAACATCTTTATTATTTTCTGAATAAATCTAGAAATAAGTGTTTTGTGGAACTTCCTTCAGGCTCTGGCTATATTTAAGGTTAAGCTGTGTTAGGTCAATTTATACTATTTTATAATTGATACTTATAAACTGTTTATTAATAATATTTCAAGTGTTATAATCAGGATAAAAAAATCTTCCGAGGGCCTTGTAAAGTAAAAAGATATCCTGTGGACACTCTTCCACGTGTTCTTTAATAACTGAGTAGTCCTTCTGGGTGAGCTAATGGTCAGCCTCACTCCCTCTGCCTCTTTTCCAGAGGATGAAAGATTAACCATGTAGCCTCAAGTTTGAGACAGTGGCTCTAGAACTTAAGGCTACATCAGAATCACCTAAGGGACTTGTTAAAAAGAAGATGGCTAAGACCTACCGCAAGAATTGTAGATTTAGTTTGAAATGGTACCAAGAATTTGCACTTTTTACATGTTCCAAGGCTATGCTGTTGTTGTTGCTCCAGTGTTCACACTTGGAAAACTACTGCTCTAAATTATAAATGTTATATTTTTCATTTAAATTTTTGTTTTGTGTAAATTTATCTTTGTTGTTGAAAGTACTACAGATGTCCCTTTTTTCCTTACATTGACCCTCACAATCCTGCTCCCTGCAAGAAGCCTTCACTGCACTATTGTCAGTGTCCATGGTTAATTCTTTGGTTAATCTCTTCCTTTGCCTCCCCCCTGAATCCTTCCCTCTGAGATCCTTCAGTCTGTTCCATGCTTCCATGTCTCTGGATCTATATCGATTACTGACCTTATCATCTAATCATTTCCTTTACGAAGGAGTTCAGATCACCTCTTCCAAAGCAAAAGTCATTTTTTCCTTCAAATGTGTCCTAACACTGGATTGGCTTATATCCAACAACTCTCTAAGTAATGTGATCAGTTAATTTAGCATTAGATATATTGTGGAACCATTTTTTTTTCTTAAGGTATACAAAAGTAGTGTTTTCACAAATGTTGGTACAATGTAGACCTCCTACCTTATCTCTGTCCACAGGTATTTCTCTCTCTTCTTCTTTATATAGTGTGTGTTCTGCTTTGGTTTTCTCTTTCCTAAGAGTATTTGATTCTTTTTTTGTGTCAGTTAACACACAGTATACATTTCCACATAACCTTGAACGTATTGCACACCCCACCAACAGGATCTCCCTGAGTCATTCTCATAGAATATACACTCGTTTTTTCTCCTGCTAAATACTTACCAAGACACTATCTTTGGATTTATCTTTGAATTGAGCCTGAATACCTGTGCACTGGGACCATACCCCTTTGGTTCCTATATAAAATTGCTGTAATTAACTCACTTTGAGGAACAGATCAACAACTAGTCTTGTGAATTACATTGTTATGATCACCATAAGGATGTGGCTAAAAATGCTATTCATTGTATGTCTCATTTATGCAAGTTCAGAAGATAAATTCTATTCAGATCTTTGAACCAGGAATATTTATTTTGTTTTGTTTGAGGATTGGAGTATTTTTAACTCACATATGACATATGAAATTAGTTCTCTTTTTGCCTTTGTTGCTGTAAAAATCAAAGTCAATTTATGGCCTGACTACCAATTGTACAGGATGTGAAAACAGTTCTGTACTAGCATCATTTGACCTTATCTCATTTGATTTTTCTGCCACAATTTTCTCATTTTAAAAAAAGGTGGGAAAGCTATAATATGTACTTCTAAAATGTGTTTTAAAGTATCCTAGAGTAAGGTAGGGATTTACTTTTATAAATAGAAATATTATACTTGTTTTTATAATGCATTAACTTAATTTAGTTTTAGATTCAGTCTTTTTCATACCTCATTTAGCTGTACTGTCATCTGTTGGGTAACCCACAAATCCAGATCCTTGTCCTGTGGTCTATTATCAGAATCTCTAGAGCTAGTAGGCATTAAATATTAAATAGGCTTTACCATTTTGGAGGAAGCATAGTTTTAAAAAGGGTTTAAATTAATCTTTTTAACTCAAATACTCATGTGACATTTCATCTTTAAGCAGCATACTGTTATGCCCAGATTCCAAGATCCCCAAAGAATTCCACACTGGGAGCCAGTTTCGATGCAACAGCAAAAGGACCTTTTATTTTAGGGCTAGCTAGACCGACCCCCGTTCCCGGCCGGCCCGGCCCTGCTCCCGGCCGGCCCGGCGACAGGAAGAGAGAGTGCCCTCCCATGGGAAAATCCGGCTTAAATAGGGGGGTGACGCAAGGGGATTGTGGGCCCTGCCGATTGGCCAGGCGTGAGCCGGGTCTTGTTACACAGGATGTGGTCATATCTATGGCGCGCACTTCCCTTGATTGTCATTGGTTAGTTTAAAATCCCGGGCGCGGCCAGCAGAGGCCTGGGCTTCCGGGAAGAAGGCTACACGTGGCCCCAACATGGAGGAGATGGCGGAGAGCGCATAGCCCTCACCCTTTCATTCCCCCCTTGTCTTGGAACTTCCAGCTCAATCATGAGTCGGGCTGCATTTCTATTCCACCGTCGCTAGAGGCCTGTACTGGGCATATTTTAACAAATGGTCTGGTGGAAGGGAAAGTAACAATTTTTATTGAAATAGGATTTTTCTTTTTAAAATTCCTCCATGGCCATTAAAAAGCCAAATCGAGATTAATTTATCTACTATTCTGATGTTTGCATAAATACAACAAGAACGGTAACTGAAAACCATCATTAGAAACTGGTCTTATTGAATTTATGCAAAGAGATGTATTGCTAGATTTCGGAGGAATTATATAAGAAGAAAAATATATTGATTTATTCTAAGATTTTCTGATTTTCTTTGCTAATTTCTTTTCATGCATAACCATGCTTTAGATTTTTATTCTAACCAGGCTTTTTCTAGCTTTACTACCCCTGACATGGGCATGGTCATGCAGGCCTGCAAGCAGTGCACAGGTTGTCAACTGTCAACTGTCTCTCAACAGCGACCAAAACCTTATGGGCACCGTTCCCTGTTCAGTTGGGCACCTGCCCTCTTGGCAGCTAGGCACTCCTTACTTTCGGGGGTCATCCTGCACAGTTCTTTTTTTAGGACAATCAATATTCATTCAAACCTGCAAGAGAATTAAAGGTTAATGTAACATATTAACACAATGAAACATAATACTGGCATCATGGCCGCTTTCAGGCAGCCAAATCTTCCGCTATTAAACATGTGATACTAAAGTCTATCCCCGATTTTTCTATAAATTGTCCCTGTCTCTTTGGAGTCATGTCCATGCAGATGCAGGCATCATCTAAGTCTATTGTGGGGGCTCCTGGCGACAGGAGTGATCGCGAGTTACGTCACCAGCATCAGGCAGGTGGAGCACGCCGTAGCTTGAGCTTCAGTGGGTTGCGTTGATCTCTTTCGACGTTCCATTTGGTGATGAAGTCTTTTTGGACCGTGGATGGGTCCGCTGACCGGACGTGAGTGTGATGGATCCAGGTCGCGACGCCGTCTACCTTGAGAGCAGTGGGGTCGTTAGCACCACAGTGTAGGGACCCTTCCAACGTGGCTCAAGAGTTTCTTGATGATGCCTTTTGACGTAGACCCAATCTCCTGGTCTGTGTTGATGAGGAGTTGGAATTGGGCTGGTCTCATAGATGGCGCGAAGGCGTGGCCAAATGTCCTCGTGTGCCCTCTGGAGCCCTCTTAAGGAAAGAGATAGTTCTTGATTTTCAAATTCAGCGAGAAAGTTAGCTTTAAGGTTAGGAATGATAGGGGGTGGCCTGCCAAACATGATTTCATAGGGAGTAAAGCCCAGGGTGTAAGGGGAGTTCCTTACCCGGTAAAGGGCATACGGTAGGAGAGCCACCCAGTCCCCGCCAGTCTCCATGGTTAATTTGGTAAGGGTCTCTTTTAGAGTTCTATTCATTCTTTCTACCTGACCTGAACTCTGGGGTCTATAAGCACAATGTAGTTTCCAATTTGCCCCAATAGCCCTGGTTATTACCTGTGTTACCTGTGAAATAAAGGCTGGCCCGTTGTCGGATCCTATCATAGCAGGAAAACCATACCTGGGTAAGATGTCTTCCAGCAGCTTCTTGGCCACCGTCTGAGCTGTTTCACGCTTGGTTGGGTATGCTTCTACCCAGCCAGAGAAGGTATCTATAAATACTAAAAGATATTTATAACCATACTTCCCTGGTTTAATTTCAGTGAAGTCGACCTCCCATTGTGCTCCAGGTTTGGTGCCTCTGAGCCTGGTTCCTTCTTTATTTGATCCAACCCTTGCGTTTGTGAGTTGACAGGTCTTGCAGGCTGACACAACCTGGTCTATCTTGGTATTCTGCTGGTGAATTTTGATCCTAGCATGTTGGATTAAGTCCTTCATTTTCCGGGCTCCCAGGTGAGTGGATTGGTGCATATGTTTTAATATCGTGTCCCCGAGCCAGTCCGGCAGTATAAGTTCTCCTTCTGGTGTATGCCACCATCCCTTTATTTCCTGGGCTTTAGGGAGCTTTTTGATACGTTGCAACTCCTCCTGGGAGTACTTGGGCTGGTCTGGTAGGACTGGGTCCCCTGGGTCTGGTAGTTGTAAGGCCATGGTAGGGACCGAGGTAAGGGCTACTGCCTTTGCAGCCTCGTCAGCCTTTTGGTTGCCTTTAGCTACCAGGTCATTGGCTTTTTGGTGTCCCTGGCAGTGGATTATGGCTAACTTGGCAGGAAGCCATAAGGCTGAGAGCAGGTCGAGGATTTCCTGCTTATTTTTTATTGTCCGTCCCTCTGCTGTCAACAGCCCTCTCTCCTGGTAGATTGCCCCGTGAACATGAGCTGTAGCAAATGCATAACGGCTGTCTGTGTAAACGTTAAGCCGCTTTCCAGCCCCGAGTGTCAGTGCCTTGGTGAGTGCAATGAGTTCTGCTCGCTGAGCTGATGTCCCAGGGGGCAGAGCCTCCGCCCACACAGTGTTCGTGTTGGCAACCACCGCCGCACCTGCGTACCTGCACCCGTTCCGCACGAAGCTGCTTCCATCCGTGAACCAGGTGGCCTCTGCATCCGGGAGGGGCCGATCGGTCAAGTCCTTCCGAAGTCCATGTACCTGCTCCAGGATTCCCGCACAGTCATGTAGTGGGGCATCTAGGTCAGGGTCAGGTAGCAGGGTAGCAGGGTTGAGGGCCGCACTGGGAAGGAACCGCACTCTAGGGGGGTTGAGCAGCAAGCTTTGATAGTGGGTCATGCGAGCATTGCTCATCCATCTATCAGGAGGCTGTTTTAGGATCCCTTCAATGGCATGCGGGGTTGTGATCCAGATCTCCTGCCCCAGGGTCAGTTTGTCAGCATCCTTGACTAAGAGCGCGGTTGCTGCAATGATTCTTAGGCACGGTGGCCAGCCGGCGGCTACAGGATCCAGCTTTTCAGACAAATATGCCACTGGGCGACTCCAGGGGCCTAAAGCCTGGGTTAAAACCCCTTTTGCCACTCCTTTGCGCTCATCTACAAAGAGGCGAAAGGGTTTTGTAATGTCTGGTAGGCCCAGGGCTGGAGTAGCCAAAAGAGCTTTCTTTATCTGATTAAAGGCCATTTCTTCTGTCTCAGTCCATTTAAAGGCCTTCCCCTCCTTGGTGGCTTCATATAGGGGCCTGGCGATCTCAGCAAAACTTGGTATCCAGAGGCGGCAATAGCCAGCCGATCCTAGGAACTCCCTCACCTCCCTCCGGGAGGTGGGAGCAGGGATTTTCAAGACTGTCTCTTTTCTAGCATCTGACAACCGCCGCTGTCCGCCCTCCAGTATGTACCCCAGGTAACTCACCCTCTTTTGGCATATCTGAGCCTTCTTCGCAGAGGCCCGGTACCCTAAGGTCCCTAGGGTGGCCAGCAGATCTTTGGTCCCTTGTTCACAATCTTTGGCGGTATCGGCAGCAATCAGGATGTCATCTACGTACTGAAGGAGAGTGAGATTGGGGTGCTCTCTCCTGTACTCACCAAGGTCTTCATGCAGCGCCTCGTCGAAGATGGTGGGTGAATTCTTGAATCCTTGGGGCAATCGCGTCCAGGTTAATTGTCCACTGTAACCTTCCTCTGGGTCGTGCCACTCGAAGGCAAACAGGGGTTGGCTTTGAGGCGCTAGCGGCAGGCTGAAAAAGGCATCCTTCAAGTCTAGTACGGTATACCAGACTCTAGAGGGTGCCAGAGAGCTTAGGAGAGTGTATGGGTTGGGAACGGTTGGGTGTATATCCAGGACCCTTTTATTTACTTCCCGGAGGTCCTGGACTGGTCGATAGTCATTCGGTTTTTTTTTTTTTGATCG